CCCCGCCCTGCTGACTCCCTGAGGCCCCGCCCCACCCAACTTTCAGGCCCACCCAAGCTGTTGCCACTTGCTTAACCATAGGATGGGCCTGACTTGGATCCTGCTTCAGGTTTTCCTAAATTTTTTCAAACGAGCAGCATCTGATCTCAGCTAGCCCCATACTGCTCGTTAAGTAATACACAGAAACAAACACAGGGAGGCAGCCAAAATGAGGATACAAAGAAACAGGTCCCAAATGAAAGAACAGAACAAAACCCCAAGAAAAGAACTAAGCGAAATGGAGATAAGCAACCTAACAGATGCTGAGTTCAAAATACTGCTTATAAAGATGCTCAATGAACTCAGTGAGGGCCTCAAGAGCATAAAAAAGGACCAGTCAGAAATGATCGATGCACAGTTAGAAACGAAGAAGGCTTTAACTGAAATAAAGAATAATTTACACAGCTTCAATAATAGAGTACGTAAATCCAAGGAGCAAACCATCAATTTGGAATATAAGGAAGCAAAAAACGCCCAATCAGAACACCAAAAAGAAAAAAGAATCCAAAAAAATGAGGATAGTGTAAGGAGCCTCTGGGACAACCTCAAGCGTGCCAACATTCGCATCTTGGGGGTGCCAGAAGGAGAAGAGAGAGAACAAGAAATCGAAAACCTGTTTGAAACAATAATGGCAGAAAACTTTCCTAACTTGGTGAAGGAAACAGACATACAAGTCCAGGAAGCACAGAGAGTCCCAAACAAGATGAACCCCAAGAGGCCCACACCAAGACACATCATCATCAAAATGCAAAAGGTTCAAGACAAAGAGAGAATCTTAAAAGCAGCAAAAGAAAGGCAGCTAGTTACCTACAAGGGAGTTCCCATAAGGCTGTCAGCTGATTTCTCAAAAGAAACTTTGCAGGCCAGAAGGGAGTAGCAAGAAATATCCAGAGTGATGAAAAGCAAGAACCTACAGCCAAGATTACTCTATCCTGCAAAGCTGTCATTTAGAATCGATGGCCATATAAAGACTTTCCCAGACAAGAAAAAGTTAAAGGAGTTCATCACCACCAAACCGTTATTATATGAAATGATGAAGGGTCTTTTTGAAGAAAAAGATAAAATATATGAACAAACAAAATGGCAAGGAATACATATCTATCAACAATGGAATCTACAAACAAAATGAACAGATAGAATAGAAACATTCTCATAGATACAGAGAATATTTTGTTGGTTGCCAGATGGGAGGGGGTTTGGGGGAATGGGTGAAAAAGTTGAAGGGATTAAGAAGTACAAATTGGTTGCTAAACTGACAAACCTCAAAGGGAAAGGGGCTGGGGGGTGGGAAGAAATAAACCAAAGAACTTATATGCATAACCAATGGACACAGACAATAGTTTGGGAAAAGGCGGGAGGGAGGCGGGAAGGGGGAGGAGGGAGTCAATGGGGGAAAAAATGTGGAACATCTGTAATACATTCTACATTCAACAATAAAGATTAAAAAAAAAAATAATACGGTGGTAAGGAGACTGGAGAAAACATAAATAAACCAAAGAGCTTTTCTCAAGACCAGTAATGTCAGGTTGGAAAGAATTATATAGCCCGGCTGGTGTGGCTCAGTGGCTGAGCATCAACCCATGCACCAGGAGGTCTCTGGTTTGACTCCCGGTCAGGGCACATGCCCAGGTTGTGGGCCCGATCCCCAGTGTGTTTGTGTGTGTGTGGGGCTTGCAAAAGGTGGCCAATCGATATTCTCTATCATTGATGTTTTTATCTCTCCCTCTCCTTTCCTTTCTCTCTAAAATCAATAAAGAAAAAAATCCATAAGAAAAAATTGGGCACATTAAAAAAAAAAAAAAGAATTATACCAATTTCCATTCAAATAGTGCCAAAACCAAAGAAGACACAAGTAAACAAGCAGGTCTAGGAGCTTTATGGAGAAAATGACACAGTGTCATCGAAGACCATACATGAGCACCGCCACAGTCGCCATGGGAAATGCACAAAGAGAAAGAACAAATATCTAGTAGCAGTCAAGACATTTTTGAAAAAACAACAAATAACAAGTGTGAAGCCTGCATTAGCACTTTGCAAGGCTTAAAGGCAATGCCTGTAATCAAAACAGAATGGCATTTACCCAAAGACAAACAGGACAGGGGACCAGTACAGAGAACCTCACGAAGTACACAGGTACACCTTGGGAGAAGGGACGAGGTGACAATTCAATTCAGAGAAAAAAGGACGCTTTATTTTTATTTTTATATTTTTGTTAATCCTCACCTGAGGATATTTTTCCCATTGATTCTTAGAAAGAGAGGAAGGAAGGAAGGAAGGAAGGAAGGAAGGAAGGAAGGAAGGAAGGAAGGAAGGAAAGAAGGAAGAAAGGAAGGGAGGGAGGAAGGGAGGGAGGGAGGGAGGGAGGGGAGGGGGAGAAAGAGAGAGAAACATCGATGTGAGAGAGACACACTGATAGGCTGCCTCCTGCACATGCCCTGACCAGGGCCAGGTATGTGCCTTTGACCATGAATTGAACCCACGGCCCTTTGGTCCTCGGGCCGACACTGTAACCACTGAGCCACACTGGTCAGGGCGCGGAAGATTTATTTTACAAATTGTTCTGGAGTAACTGCCCATCCATCTAGAGGAGATGAAAGCTAGACTTGCTCCCTCACACCACACACGCAAAGAGACTTCAGAAATATTAAAGCTTAAAATGTAAACAGTAAAAATACTGTGAGACTCCAAGAGAATATTTCTACAAAATGGCTTTTTTTATATAATGCAGAGGCCATAAAGGAAAAGATAGACACAATTGATGACACATTCTTTTTTTTTATCCTCACCCGAGGATATTTTTCCATTTTTTGTACAGATAGAGTGGGAGGGAGAGAGAGAGAGAAACATCGATGTGAAAGGGACACATCAAGTGGCTGCCACCCGCGTGACCAACCAGGGCCGGGGACAAACCGCAACCGAAGTACGTGCCCTTAGCGGGAACCGAACCCGGGTCTCTCCGGACCGCAGGCCGACGCTCTAACCGCTGAGCCAAACTGGCCAGGGCTGATGACACATTCTTACATCTTTGTTATCGCAAAAGGTAACAGACAAAAGAAAAACAGTGGATTGCAAGAAGTATTGGCAACACGGCCGATCCACAAAGGCTTAAGATCTCTAGTGTCCAGAAATCCCCTCCACAGGGAGGACAAACAACCCTTCAGAAAAATAACCAACAAGCAGTAACAGGCCACACACATAAGGGGAAATACAATTAGTTCATGGAAATATGAAAAGATGCTCAATGTCATTAATTATGAATGTGGACATTAAGACAAGAAGATATTTGTACCCATTAGAATGGTCCAAATTTATTTATTCATTTAAAAAAATTTTTTTAATATGTTTTCATTGGTTTTTTTAGAGAGACAGGAAGGGGGAGAGAGAGAGAGAGAGAAACATCGATGAGAGAGAAACATCAATTGGTTGCCTCCTGAACACCCCCTACTGGGGATCGAGCCCACAACCCAGGCATGTGCCCTGACTGGGGATCGAACTAGGAACCTCTCAGTCCGCTGAGCCACACTGGCTGGGCAGAATAATACAAATGTATAGGCTCCTGAATATCTAGTACTGACCGGAAAGAGGATGAAAATTCCCATCTATTTCGGGTGCAGGACCGAATCACACTGCTTTTTGGGGAAGTGATTCCAAAGCTGTCCACTTTGACCACTTACATCTACATGAGTAAATACCCTAGACAGCCAGGCTCTCTCGTACAAGGAGGCCAAACCCAGAAATGATCCCCGTGTTCACCAACAAGAGAAGCCCCGAGTCAACAAAGCACCATTATCCTGCAGGTTTGAGGCGCGGACTTGAAAGAGTGACTACAGCCACGTTCCCGGATCGAGCGGGGGTCCGCAACAGAAGGCTATGCTGAAAAACCAAGTTGAAGATCATGCAAATAATGCAATATTATGTGTGCTATTAAAATGGAAAACTAAAACTAAACCTTGCAGATGTTTTTTTCCGGTTGTATTGAGATGTAATTGACATCCAAGATTGTCTAAGTTGAAGGCGCACACATATATCGCAAGATGGTCACCTCCATGGTGTTAGCCAATGCCTGCCACCTAAGTGCATTTCTCTTTGGTGGTGAGAACATTTAACACTGACTCTTTTAGAAACTTTCAGATATATAATACAGTATTACTAACTATAATCACAACGCTGTCCATTAGATCCCCAGACTTGTTCATCTTTTATTTATTTTTAATTATCTTAATCTCTCTTTAATTTAAAAATTTTTATTTTTATTGATTTTTTTTTTAGAGAGAGGAAGGAGGGAGAGAGAAACATCGATTTGTTGTTCCGCGTGTTGATACATTCATTGGTTGCTTCTTGCATGTGCCCTGAGTGGGGATCGAACCCACAACCTTGGCGTATCGAGATGACACTCTAACCAGCTGAGCTATCCCACCAAAACGAAATTATTCATCTTTTAAATGAAGTTTGCTAACCAGCTTAACAGTAGCCCACAACCTTCAAACTGACTAAAATGAAGTTTGTACCCTTTGACCAACAGCTCCCCAACCCCCCACCCCCAGCCCCAGAAAACCACCATTCTCCTCCCTCTTTCCATGAATTTGGCATTTTTAGATTCCACGAATAAATGACATCATACAGTATTTGTCTTTCTCTGTCTGATTTGTTTCTCTTAGCATAACATCCTCACAGCCCATCTATGTTGTTGTTGCAAATGGCGGGATAATCTTTTTTTGTTTTTTTTCTCATGGCTTAAAAATATTCCACGGTCTGCACCTAGAGGTCGCCAGGTGATCCCCAGTCAGGGCACATGCCTGGGTTGTGGGCTCGATCCCCAGTAGGGGGTGCTCAGGAGGCAGCCGATCGATGTTTCTCTCTCTCTAATGATAATAAAAAGAATCAACAAGAATGTATTTTAAAGCATTCCATGGAATACCTGCCTCCTGAGTTCATGCATTCATGCCCAGGCAGCTACTCACCACCTTCCCCGGACAGCTGCTGGGCAGGGCGCTGGCTTCCACAAAGTGCTTCCTGAGGAGGCGTTTGCTGGGGTCGGGGCTGTCCAGGAGCACGTAGGAGCAGAAGAAAGCCCCGTGGCGCAGCAGGAACATGGCAATGTCTTCGTTCCCTAGGGGACAGACCTGGGACCTCAGGGCCTTCCAGGGCCCGTCTGTCCCACGCGGCAGACACTAACACGCACAATGAAACGAAAAGGGATCTTGTGTTGGCCGGTGTGGCTCAGAGGTTAGAGCGTCGGCCTGCGGACCGAAAGGTCGTGGATTTGATTCCCGTCAAGGGCATGTACCTGGGTTGCAGGTTCGATCCCCAGCCCCGGTTGGAGACACGCAGGAGGCAACCAACTGATGTGTCTTTCTCACATCGATGTTTCTCTCTCTCTCTCCCTCCCTCCCGTCCACTCTACCTAAAAATCAATGGAAAAATATCCTCGGGTGAGGATTAAAATAAATACATAGCCCTGGCCAGTTTGGCTCAGCGGTTAGAGCGTCCACCTGTGGTCCAGAGAGACCCGGGTTCGGTTCCCGCTAAGGGCATGTACCTCGGTTGCAGTTTGTCCCCAGCCCTGGTTGGTCATGCGGGTGGCAGCCACTCGATGTGTCCCTTTCACATCGATGTTTCTCTCTCTCTCTCTTCCTCTCTCTCCCTCCCACTCTATCTGTACAAGGAATGGAAAAATGTCCTCGGGTGAGGATTAATAAAACAACAAAAAAACAAAAACATAAACAAAAGGGGTTCTCGTGCTGGCTGAACCCCTCTGACTTTCCTGGTCCCTCGAGTCCCCGTTCGTGTGACTTTGTGTGGGATGGTCCCCTTGCAGGGTGGGAAGACGGGGCAGACATAAGGGAGGGTACAGGCACCTTGGAGAAGATACAAAACACAGGACTTGCAATGTCTCTACACAGGGGGCCGAGAGCAGGGGGAGGGGGAGATGCTGTCTCGTGTCTCAAAACCATGCGGGGACCGCCGGGGGACCCACCTGACTTGATGGCCGCGTACAGGGGCAAGCACCCGATGACAGGGAATTCGTTCTTCCGGACGGCGTAGCTCTCGGGGTCGGCCCCGTGCGTGAGGACCAGGAGTTTCACCAGCCCCAGGTGGCCTCGCTGACAAGCCAGGGCCAGCATCCAGTTCAGTAGCCTCTGGGGGCTGCAGCCACCTAGCGGGAGACAGCAGGGCAGAGGGACGGGGCCATGAAGGGCTCTGGTGTCTCCCACTCTGACTCCCCTCTGACCTTCCAATAAAATCCAGCAGAAAGAGCGCTTCTGCAGAGCTGATGGTGCTTTCTGGAACAACCCCCCCCGAATTGCATAGTACACGTTCCCACCATCACAGACCCACCTGCTCACCCCATGACGCTGTGTGAGGGAGGGCAGCACTTGAAACAGTGGGCACTGCGACCTTCACAGAAGCAAAAATGTGCCCAGATGAGACTAGAAGGAATCACCCGTATTACGTCTGGGGGTGGGATTCTGAACACTCCCCTCCCCCAACACAGCCAACCTCATCCCTAGATGAGGGGATCGATTTTGGAGACAGGCAGTTTAGGGTTAAACTTTAGCTGTGTAGTGTTGGACGACCCATTCTTTAACCTCTCCCTGACTCAGTTTACCCGTAAGTCAAATGGGAGTAATAACGTCCATCCTTCCAAGTTTAGCGTCAGGAGCACATGGCGTGACGTACGACAAGGGCCTGAACGTGTGTCCTCATTCTCAGTACTAATGCTTTTCTGCATGGTCAAGCTGTCTGTGATATTCATGTTATTTTCACAAGCATATAAAAAAAAACTTTGATTAAAGAAATAGACCTTGTTCTCCAGCCTAAAACGTGAAGAATGACTCCTGGGAAGAACCACTCACTTCACGGCAGGTGAGACAGTGCTCCGAGCACTGAATGAGCAGGAACAAGAAGGCTGGAGTGTCAGCTGCCTTCAGGTTCAAGGTAGTGACATAGCTCTGGGTCCGGCAGCCAAGGACAAATGATCTCACCCACAGACTCTCCCCAACTGCATCATAACACTGTCTCATTTCCAGGGTGGAAAGTCCTTAGGAACCACGAGCTCCCACGCACTGACAAGAACCCCCCTCTCCATGACAGGAGACTGACCAGGAAACATGGGTGAGGTTGAAAGGGTAGGAATTAAAATCCAGCACAGAATTCACCTGGCCTAGGACCCGGGTTGCAGCAGGTGCTAAAAAAATGTCCCTTCTTCACCCTCCCCTGATAACTAAAATGGACAATTCGAAGGAGGCGGTACATGATCAGAAAAGCGATCCCTGGAAAAGCAGACAAACCACGTCTTTCCCTTGCTTGTCTGCCAAGTAAACTCCTACTCACCCTGCAAAGCCCTACCCAGAAGTCAGCCGCCTCTGAAGACCCTGTCCTGCCCCCCCACCCCCCAGACAAGGCCATTCCCTGCTGTGCGCTCATAGACCACTGTGTGAATATTTCAACCTCAGTATGGATATGCTGCCTTGATTTTCTGTGTGTGACCAGAAGCAACTAAAGGGCTGGGACCACCTTTTAAAAAGTCTCTGTGTCTCAGAGTGTCCTATTTGGCAAATACTCAAAATATGTAAGCTGTGAAATTAGGTGGGTGAGTCAGCTGGTGTCGACTCTTTGGGGCTAGAACAGAGCTAATCCTGGGGCTCCCTGAAGGGAGAGAGTCAGTGGCTCCTCAGGGGTGCCTAGCTCCTTCCCGCCCTCCTACACTTCGCTTGACCCAATCTGCATCCATGGGCCCTAAATGTCCCGGTTTCTGTCCATAACCTCATTCTCCCTCCAGCCTGAGGGGGCACTATCCAGAACTAACTCTGAGTGTAAGTCTATTTCAAAGCACACAGTTGGACACCCTGAACAGTACTGCTACATAATTTTTGGGACCCCATGTTTAAAAAGTATTAAAGATTTCCAGATGGTGACTGCAGAGTGTTAAACCAAGTGTGGGGCTCTTCTAAGCACAGGACCTTGTGGCTACATTGTTGCACATTCATGAAGCCCGCCCTGCACCCAAGCAACATCCTAATTCTCAGTGACCACTGGTAAGGTAATGCCTCAGCCTGTAGTTGCAGCAATGCCTGGACTTGTACAGTTTTGCAGATCTGAGGCCACTGTGGGAAATCAGGAACCCTGAGTCTACCAAGAGGAAAAAATTACCTGTTACTGAAAAAACAACATCACATGGCACATCCAAAACATATGTTATTCAGCGATCAAAAGAATTGAGCTCTTGCCCTGGCCGGTTTGGGTCAGCGGTTAGAGCGTCGGCCTGCGGTCCGGAGAGACCCGGGTTCAGTTCCCGCTAAGGGCATGTGCCTCGGTTGCAGTTTGTCCCCGGCCCTGGTTGGTCGTGCGGGTGGCAGCCACTCGATGTGTCCCTTTCACATCGATGTTTCTCTCTCTCTCTCTCTTCCTCTCTCTCCCTCCCACTCTAACTGTACAAAAAAATGGAAAAATGTCCTCAGATGAGGATAAAAAAAAAAAAAAAAGAATTGAGCTCTTAAGCCACGAAAAGACATGGAGAAAATTTAAATGCATAGGGCTAGGTGAAGAAGGTCAATCGGAAAAGGCTATATACTATATGATTCCAACTACATGACATTCTGGAAAAGGCAAAACCATGGAGAAGGAAAAAAGATCAGGGTTTCCAGGGCTTCAGGGTGGGGGGGAGGGGTTAACAGGTGGAGCACAGAGGAGTTTTAGGGCATTGGGACTATGCTGTATGATATTAAAATGGTGGATGCATGTCATTATATATTCATTTGTCCAAACCCATAGAATGTACAATCCCAAAGTAAACTATGGCCTTTAGTTGGTAATAATGTATCAATATTGATTCAACAACTAGAACAAATATAGCATATTCAAATAAAATAATAAGTAATAGGGGAGACTGTGTGGGGTAGGATACGAGAATTCTCTCGTTCCCTATCAATTTTCCTGTAAACTTAGAACTGCTTTAAAAAATAAAGTCTGGCCTGGCCGGTGTGGCTCAGTGGTTGAGCATCAACCCATGCACCAAGAGGTCGCTGGTTCGATTCCTGGTCAGGGCACATGCCCGGGATGTGAGCCCAATCCCCAGTGGGGTCATGCAAGAGGTGGCCAATCAATGTTCTCTCTCATCGATGTTTCTATCTCTCTCTCCCTCTCTCTCTAAAATCAATAAAGAAGAAAATAATAATAAAAAAATAAAGTCTGCCCTGGCCAGTGTGTGTCAGTTGGTAGACCCTTATCTTGTTCACTGAAATGTTGCTAGTTGGATTCCCAGTCAGGGCACACACCTAGGTTGTGGGTTTGATCCCCTGTTGGGGTGTATATGGGAGGCAACGGATTGATGCTTCTCTCTCACATCGATGTTTCTCTCTCACATCGATGTTTCTCTTTCTCTCCCTCTCCCTTCCTGTCTCTATATAAAAAAAAAAACCCAAAAAACAATAAAAAAATTTTAAAAAGAAAAAAAAGTCTATTAATACAGCATAAAAAGGAACATAGATCCATCTTCTTGATCAAATACAATGTGAGAGAATTTCCCACATGAGTGAAAGGGAGTGAGATGCGGTGTTGCCGCAGAAGCTCACGATTGGTAAAAGCATGAAGAAATAAGCATTTTGGGGAGCAGCCCCCCAAATGCCTGTCTGATGCCTAAGAAGAGGGCCCCTTGAGTGGCGGTGAAGAGCCCGTGGCGGGGACTCACCTGTTAAAGACTCGAGTAATTCGTGCACGATGTCCGTGTGCCCGAAGTGTGCCGCCACCACGGCGGGGTTGTCGTCCGTGGGCTCTGTGGGCAGCTCCACCTGCTTCTCGGTGAGCAGATACCGGACGGTCTCCAGGTCCCCATAGGCTGCTGAGATGCTCAGAAGCCGGCCCTGGTCACAGCAGAATAGGAACAGGGTTTGAGGGAGATGATCGCTGGTGGACATTGTCAAGGGGTCAGCTCCGTGGGTTCGATGAAGGCCACGGACACGCCGAGGCTGAGCTGCCCCAGAAGGCCCTGGCCACGTGCGGCTACCGAAGGCTTGAAATGTGGCCCTTGCAGAACCAGAGGAGCCAAGGTGTGAAATCACATGCGATTCCCCATAGCACAGAGAAGGTAAACTAGCCCTGGCCGGTTTGGCTCAACGGTTAGAGCGTCGGCCTGTGGACCAGAGACTCCTGGTTTGGTTCCCGCTAAGGGCACGAACCTCAGTTGCAGTTTGTCCCCGGCCCCAACATTGGGGTCATGTGGGTGGCAGCCACTCGATGCGTCTCTCTCACATCGATGTTTCTCTCTCTCTCTTCCCCCCATCTCTCCCTCCTGCTCTGTCTGAAAATAAATGCAAAAATGTCCTTGGGTGAGGATTAAAAAAAAGGTAATCTCATCAATAACTTTTATATTGATTACCCGCTAAAATGATGATTTAAAAAAAAAAATCCTCATCCAGAGGTGTGTGTGTGTATATATATATTATTTATTTATTTTATCCTCACCCAAGGATATTTTTGCATTTATCTTCAGACAGAGCAGGAAGGAGAGAGGGAGGAAGAGCGAGAGAGAAACATCGATGTGAGAGAGACACGTGGAGTGGTTGCCACCTACACGACCCCAACCGGGGACGGGGACAAACTGCAACCGAGGTACGTGCCCTTAGCAGGAACCGAACCCGGGCCTCTCTGGTCCACAAGCTGATGCTCTAACTGCTGAGCCAAACTGGCCAGGGCAGGAGGTATATTTTAAAAAATGGATTTGAGAGAGAGAGAGGGAGAGAGAGAGAAAGAGAGACTGATTGGTTGCCTCCTATATGTGTTCCAACAGGGGATTGAACCTGCAACCTTGGTATGTGCCCTGACCGGAAATCGAACCCACAACCTCTCTGTGTATGAGACCATGCTCCAACCAACAACCAACTGAGGGGCCAGGGTGAATGTCACCCAGCCTTTGAAGGAGATGCACTCAAGCATTTATAATCATAGAGGAAACTGCTGATACAATATTATATGAGAAAAAGCAGTGAGCAAGACTGTTCATCCGATAGGACTGTGTCTGTGTGAGAAATGACTCAGCAGGCTGGCAGCACAGCCCTAACCCTGCTAAGTGGGATGTCCCGATGCATCAGGAATATGTCCCTTGCTTGTTCTTTTTTTCTCTGCTTTTCCATATTTCTAAATTTTCTTTCTTGAGCATATGCTATTTTTAGAATGAAAACCGTGTGAAAGAGTACTGGACACTACCCTTCAGACTGGCATTCTGTTTCTTACCGATCGGCTACTCCTCCCTTGTCCCCTGGGAAGGGGGCAGTGGTGACCTTAGGTGATGACAGGTCGAAGTCATCTCGAAAGGGCTGGCACCCTAAGTGTGCGTGTGGAACAAGATATTTCCAGAACACGGTAAAAAAAAGAAAATCCCCTTACAATGATGATGACAAGATCATCTGAGCAGCAGCCCGTGTCCCATCTGGGTCCCCAGTTCTGGCCCGAGGGTCTGGTAATGACCTTTACCTTTTCCAGCTGGGATGTGCTCTCGTCACAGGCCTCTCTGAGCAGGTGGCGGGCTCTGCTGGAGTCGCCCTGCTTGTACGCGGTGTGAATGTCTTCTGTCCCAGGACACCGCACTGTGGGGTCACCGCCTGGTGCGGACAGTTTGCTGCCCATGTCCCCAGCACCTGGGTGGATGGAATTGCACACATGTGACTATCACTGCTGGCTCAGGAAAATCATCAGAAAGGTGCTGGCTGTGACATAAATTTGAGGTGTTGACAAGAAAAAGGGATCACCCTGAAATGCTGCCAGTGTCACCAAGCACAGCAGACCCTGGGACCTGCCCCCTGCTGGAGGGACTTTCTACGTAGGGCTGGCGCTGAAGTTGGGCTGATTGCAAAGGCACCTGGCAACCCAGGACAGCCAGAGAGATTCTGCCATGAGACTGTCACCTGGAGCGGGCCTGGGGCACCCGAGAGAGCTGCCTGGACAGAAACTACCAGGTTGACATCACCGAGAGCAATGGAGAAGCGAGGGCTTTGGTGGGACAGCTGGTGGTCTAACCAAATTGTCCCTCTGCTGTGTTCCTCGGGGACAGGGTATCGGGTGGAAGAAGAAAAAGCAAATCCTACTCTGTACCCTGTTTGCCTGGAAAACAAAACAAAGGGGGTGGGATTGAGAATCAGCAGCCCTCATGTATCCCTGCGGGGTGCAGAAGGTGCAGAAGGAAAGGAAGTCAGCCCCTACCCACACAGAGCCCCCACTCTAGAAGAGGGGTTCATGATGATGAGGTGTGTGAACCCCCAAAAGCTAACCAACAGGCTTCAGAGTTTTCCTGCATATCCCAAGTTGCACACAAGAGTTTTGTGTGTGCACATTTTTGGGGGAGAAAATTCAAGGCTTCCACCCGATTGGAGAATGTATTAGTAAACCAGAGTTTAAAGCTTTATCTCTATAGATATTATTTAAAAAAAAACTGTAAAGAATGAGGAGCACATTCTGATTGTGTTGAGTGACAGCGGAACTAGGGAGAGCATGCTAGCATTTTTGGCCAAGTTTACACAGGCAGGAAGACGCGGAAAGGGGCTGAGGTTTGGTCCCTCAGGGAACTGTCATCTCTCTTCTGCCTCTTGGGAGGGATGAATGAAACTGCTTACAACTGTTTTTTGAAAAAGGTAAATTCTGAGCAAGGTTGGCTTCCAAATACTCACATCACAAAAACAAGTCACAGTATAGTAGCTAACATTTAAAAATTAAAAAAAAATTATTTATAACAGCATAAATGGTACATGCTGAGAAAAAAATTTAACAGAAGATGGAACAGAGCTATAAGATACTGCTGAGAGAAAGCAAGCAAAACCTATATAAATGGAAAGACATCCCATGTTCATGGACTGCAAGAATCAACATTGTTACGATGTTGATTCGCCCCGGTTTTATCTATAGATACAATGTAATCCCAACCACAATTCCAATAGGCTTTTTTTTTTTTTTTTGGTAGAAATTGGCACTCTGATTCTAAAATTTGTACGGGAATTCAAAGGACTTAGAATATCCAAAATAATCTTGAAAAATAAGAGAGTGAGAAGATGTACATTACTTGATTTCAAGTGTTATTATGAAACTACACTAATCAAGACAGTGTGGAACTGGTACAGCAAACGGAAAAGAGTTGAGAAAAAGGTCCATACTTGCACATCTAATTGATTTTTGACAAAGGTAATACAACAAGAAAAGCCAAGTCTTCTCAACAAATGATGTCAGAACCACTGGACATCACCTTGAATTAAAAGAAACCCTGACCCCTATTTCTCACCCCACACAACAACTAATTTGAGCTGGATCATGGATCTAAACAAAAAGGCTAAAACTATAGAGCTTCTAGAAAAAAACAGAGGAATAGCTTCATGACTTGAGAGTAGGCAAAGGTTTCTCAGACAGGACATAGGAAGCAACAACCATGAAAGAAAAAAAAAAAATGGTGAAATTAGTCATCACCAAAACATTAAACTCCTGCTCATTAAAAGATTGACCTACTATTTGCAAATGAACAGCCAAGTTACATACTAAAAGAAAACATTTGAAAAACATGTCCAAAAAAGGAATGGTATCCAAAATATAAAAATAACTGTTAACTCAGTAATAAAGGAAAAACAACCCAATTAAAAAATGGGCAAATATTTGAATAGTTGGAAGATAGTCAAAGAACTCAATATCATTAGTCATCAAGGAAGTGCAAATGAAAACCACCACTGTACTCCACTAGAACCACTCAAATGTAAAAACACTTGGTGAGAATCTGGAGCAAAAACGAATATTCAGATCTTATTGGCTGGAGCGTAAAATAGCACAAACACTAAACATACACCCAGCCTACGACCCACAGTTCTATTCTTAGATATTTACCCAAGACAAATATGTCCTAAAAATGTATCCAAGAATGTTTATAGCAGCTTCATTTATAGCATGTTCACACTGTGAATAGTGTAGGTATCCATCAGCGGAACGGATACACAGTTAGGTATTGTGGTTTAGTACCTTCTCAGCAAATTGTCTGCATGATGTTTCTATATCTTTTTTCGTTTGTTTGTTAATCCTCACCCCGAGGATATTTTTTCCACTGATCTTTTTTTTTTTTAGACAGAGTGGAAGGAAGGGAGGTGGAGAGAGAGAGAGAAACGCAGATGTGAGAAAGACACATCGATTGGTTGCCTTCCGCACCGGGCCAGGAATCTAACCTGAGACCATTTGATGCTGGGCCGATGCTCTAACCACACTGTTTCTATATCTTGATGGTGATTTCATTACACTGGTGTTGTTTCTAAACTTATCCAATACTCCAATGAAGAGATGTGCCTTTTACTTTATATAAATTTTACCAAAAAAACTATAAATAGCCCGGCCAGTGTGGCTCAGTGGTTGAGCATTGACCCATGCACCAGGAGGCTGGATTTCTGGTCAGAGCACATGCCCAGGTTGTGGGCCCGATCCCCAGTGGGGGGCATGCAGGAGGCGGCCAGTCGATGTTCTCTCTCATCAATGTTTCTCTCTCTTCCTCTCCCTCTCTCTCTCAAATCAATAAAGAAAAAATATTAAAAACAAACAAACTATAACACTGAACAGTAGTCAATAATATGAATGCTAAAGTATGTGAGGGTGAAGTGTACAGGTGAAATGCACTACAGATAATGAACTGATGGGCGGATAAAGAAATAAATACACAGATAGAAATGTGAGTCATTTTAGGAAATGTTAATAGTAGAATCTAAGTGGTGGGTATATGGATGGACATGATTCAATTATTTCAACTTGACTGTATGTTTGGAATTCTTATAATATATATATTTTTTATCCTCACCCGAGGACAATTTTCCATTTTTTGTTCAGATAGAGTGGGAGAGAGAGACAGGAAGAGAGAGAGAGAAACATCGATGTGAAAGGGACACGTCGAGTGGCTGCCACCTGCCCAACCCAACCAAGGTACGTGCCCTTAGCGGGAACCGAACCCGGGTCTCTCTGGACCACAGGCTGATGCTCTAACCGCTGAGCCAAACCAGCCAGGGCTGGGATTCTTCATAACAAAATGTTGGGAGAAGTCAATCAAAGAGGTCACCGTAAACGCAGGGCCTGCCACACGGCATACGAATGAGCCCACCACCGGAGCAGGAAAACCTGCTCTGTAAAAAGGCAGGTCAAGCTGTTTACAGTAAAGTGTCTCGATGAGCAAGAACATCAATTGGCCGCCTCCTACATGCTCCCTACTGGGGATCAGGCCCACAACCTGGGCATGTGCCCGTACCAGGAATTGAACCGGTGACCTCCTGGTGCATGGGTCGATGTTCAACCACTGAGCCACACCTGCCGGGCTACAGTAGTCTCGTGGTGCCATCCAGGAACGTACAGCTCACTCTGAGCCAAGGCTTCGCTGTTGTAGAGGCAAGTACTCCGTAAATCCACCCGAGTGGATGAGAGTCCCATACGATCTGCATCGTCACCAAAACACAAACGTGTCGTCGCTGCGTCTGCATGGAGGGGTGTGTGTGTGTGTGTGTGTGTGTGTGTGTGTGTGTGTCTATGTATTTCTGGAAAGAAGAATCAGCTCAGTGTGTAAGTGGTTATAGATGTAAACGAGGCAGCCTTGCTCCCTATCACACATAACAGGTCCCATTAATCATTTATAGTCACAGTCCCAGACACATCTGAGAGTGGGCTGGAGGGAGGAAGGAGGGCCACTGGTAGACGCAAGGAGGACGCAGCAGAAGGGACAATCATGTCATTGGTCATCTTTCACAAATAAACAATCTCATCTCTATGAAAGATCAACGTGCGTGCATGTGTGTGTGCCCGAGCAGGTACAAAGTAACCTCCTCTGACCACATTAGGAACACTAATAAAAACAGTTAATCTTTTAGCCCAAGGTACGCGACATTAGGAAGGTTGAACCTAGGACATAGAAGATGATTTTACTTTCACTTGATTTTTAAATAATATAATGTATGTGGAGTAAATGACATCATCAGAACCAAGACTCTGCTCAGTTCGATTAACATTTTTTTCAATGTGGTGATGTTTTCAGTTTTGAATCCAATTTTCTTAAGTGGCACAGATAACACTTGTCCACAAGACCCCGAGAGCTAGTGGGTCTGGTCCAAACTGCTGGGTGGACATTATGGGAAAGCATCAGTTAATGAAAAGACACTTAAGTTAATCTGCCAACTTCATTTAATTCCCTGAAATTATAGAGAGAATGGTTACATATATTGTAAGTGAAAGAAAAACATCAAAATGTTAGAAGGATGGGCTGGCTGGGAGGGAATTAGTCATAGGATTAAAAATATTTTTCTTCTTTATTTCCCAAGTTCCCGGTGATGGAATTATATGACTGTTTTATTTAAAACTTGAAAGAAATAACACGAGTAAGAAAAGAACACACTCTCATTGAAAAAACCTAAATAATAAAGAAATGCATCACGTAAAATACAGAAGTCCCTCCTCCTACCACCAGACATGTTTTCTTAGAGATAAATATTTACTTTTATAGTATTACTCCCCACCCCACCACCAAATACTAGTTCTATATTTGAGAATTGGTGACCTCTGATTTAAACTTTAAAGCAGGGGGACATATTTATACTGTTTGTGATTCTTCAGTTACTTATTTGTGCCTATTAACCAACGCTTGTCC